CGTCAGATTCTACAAATATGTCCCATAAAACATTTATGCTTCAACACATTTATGCAAGACACGTTTTCTAATGATATTTTGATTCCCATTTTTGGCAGCAAGTTGCACTGAGTAATATCAAAATGATTCATTAAAAAAATTGTATGAAATATTGTATAGAATACTTCATATGATTAAACGTTTATATTCAGCTGTTTAATCACAAAATCTGAAATCACTTATGACGTGTAAATTAAATTTGGTAATAGAATTTTTAGGAACTCATGCACGTGTTCTCATTAGTTAAAAAAATGATGTTCTGATTCTTCATAAGTATTACTATTACATTCGTATGGGTATCATTCGTATTATTATATAAAAATTATATATATAAAAAGAATTATTGGAATTTATATAGAACAATAACACGGAAATTATGTATCAGTGTCAATGTCTTCTAATTCCTCAAACATATCTGATCATAAAACAAGGAATTGGTTCTCTTAAAACGATAAACCGAATCGTATTCACGTCTCTTCAGATCCGTAGCTTTCCTCCCGAACTGAATTCGGATCGTTTAAAATAACCGATCAGAAAGTAGCACGGCAGTAAATTCGAGCAGGCGATACCCACCCGTGTGTATCGCCTTTCATATTTCCACTTTGTGATAGATTTATATTATTTTCCTTCCTGGCACACGATTTTCACACGGCGATGTATTAGGCTGATAAATATAAATTGTTTCTCTTAGGTTTGAACCTGATAAGCTGGGTCTGGTATTAAATTTTATCCTATCATTAATGATACTCTACCCCATTAAAGACAGGAAGATTGTTTGTGATGTATTTGTATTAGAATGTTAAAGGATTGGTATAGGTTATAATAAAAATATTAAAACTCATTAATTATCATTTTGAACAATTAAAATATTCGTATGATTTTTTTTATAGGAAGTCCAACTTGAAAAATGTGCCACAGAAGTTATTTAAAACGTAAATCAGGTGTTTGGAATAGGCTATGTAAATGTTAGGATTGTTAGACGTTGATTCGTAAAATTCGACTCTGGGATCTTTCATTATAAAATAAACCCTGAAGAAGATCGGAA